CAATTCATGCAAAACTCCATGTAATCCCAAGGGGTTCACATACTTTTTCTTGCAACTGTACAGTTAAATAGGCTGTTTAGATTTATGAGGCTAGGGTGAACTAAGCACTCAGTTGCTATGGCTGATTGATTAATGTTGCACCTCTCATTTGCCAACCCAAGGCAGCATACGTAACTATTTTTCTGTACATCAAACCCATGAGGCACCTTAAAGTACCTTTGGGGACATTGGTGCGGATTTCAGTCCCTAGGAGCTCTTCTCGTTTTCCCCATCACCCATCTGTCAGCTGCCTGCCGCTAGATGCTTGGCAATAGATATTTTTCCACTCCTGATGTAAACATTAAAAATTATCTGCCACAGAACTGGCAGGAGGCAGACAGACAACATTTCCTTTCCTTTCTTGCTAAAGTCAAATGCTAATCACTGAAGGAAGCAACAGAAAGAAAATAACATGAAAACTTCTGCTTTTCTCAGTGATCCTGCAATATGGGTATGGGCAATATTTGAGAGAGTGGAGGCCACAAATCAGATTCCAACTATTTGCCAGGTTTAGTGCTTTAACTGATCATGTAATGAGGTCATTCTATAATGGAACACTTCCTGTTTCTATTCCCATCCTTTAAAAAGCTGGACCAAGCCATAACTAACATAAAAATGAGAAAAAATGACTACTTTTAGGGGGATTAGAGTGGAAAGTAATTTCAATCCTATTTTAATTTAAAACAAGCATTCATTAAATCTCAGCAACACAATTTTGGGACATAGGGTGTGCACATTTGGCCTGCAAGGTTATGCAATGCTTTAATTAATGCATGTGTTATTTTCAGAAGCTGACTAATATCTTTGTGTAGAAGCGAGCACGCATATAAGCAAAACATATATTCTATCCTGAAGACTAGTCCAATCCCAATTTATGCTATTTTTTTAAAACAAAAATTGTCATGATTTACATGTTTATTTATTATACTCTTTATTAAAAAGCCAGTAGCCTTTTTTAGGGAATCTCACCTTCTCTACTTCTTGCAATGTTCTCAAAAATTGTGCTTTTTGCATTGTTTCTTTCCAGAACTTTAAGACCTTCAGTTTGCATAACAACTTCTCCAATTCACTGTTTTCATCCCGTAGTTCCTGCAACTTCCCCTGCTAAAGAGCACAGGTTCTTTCTATTAGTATTCTCTCCCCAAAATCCTTGCAACAGCCCTTTAAGCATCAGTCTCTGTTCCAGTGAGGAAAGAGATATGAATACAAAACAGAAACTGTATGTCATATAATTGTATGTCATATAATCTCTCTCCATAATACAAAAATAATCAATGGCTATTCAGGAATACCCAGAGCAGTAGTTTGGCTTATGATGAAATGGACCCTAGCATATTCTTTTTTTGCATTATAACTATGCTCACAATGAGATACGTATAGAATCAATCATCAGATTTTTGGTTCTGAATAAAATCTGCGATATCATCATCTTCCGTTCCTGATATCGAGTATATATTTTTCAGAGGTTTTGTTTTCTGATAAAATTAAAAATGTGAAAAGTTCATCCATTGCTATTTGAAACATTATAAAGCATCTCAGGCTGAAATTCTACAGACATTTAATCTGGGAGTAATGTTCACTGTACTCAGTAGGATTGTGTTTCTGATGACGCTGTAAATTATGCGATGAGCAAGAACCAGCACACAATTTATCTCAGGCAATTGTTTTTTTACTGTTAAATTCATATTTACATGGATATAAATGGATTAAATATTATATGGATATATTTATATGGAAAACAGGAAGATTTTCTACATTTAAACAATTATAAAAGAAATAGATTTTTATCCCCAATAATGCATTTTTTCAATAACTTTTGTCTTCATCACATATTTGTATATATCCGTCCATAAAAATTAATAAAAATTGCTAATGGATACATTTTGTTTAGCATTAAGTTCATCAGATGCTTGATCTCCCCAATATGGCTGATGTGAAAGGAACTTAGACTGAGAAAAGAGAAGGCTAACTCAGGCAGAGGCGCCTGAATTAGCTCAGCTTTTCTAGTCTCAAAACCTAAATACAATCAATCTCAGAAAGATGTTTAATTCAGACCAGATATATTTTAATTCATAACACATTATTTTAATAAATGAGAAAGTCAGACAATATCTGGTAACAATTCAAAAGAAAAAGCCATAGAAACTAGCATAATTCTTACTCAATATCAGAATACAGAAAATTTAATGTCTACATGCTTTGTTTTCTTTGCTTTAATAGCTTTCAGAGGGATTTCTCTAATGCATGTATATCAAATTGCAATTCTAAGCTTGTTTTTTATTTTGACTTTAGGTCATAATTTGTTTCTTTTATTCCTAAGCATTGAGCAAACTAAAGGGCTACCTGAGCCAAATGTTCTTCAACCGCACTGTTACCCTTTGTAGATCCAAACTTTTTCTTCAGATTAATAATTTTCTCCACACCTTCTTTTCTCACTTCACTGATGATTTCTGACATTTGTTTGTTCATGTTTAGACGATATTCATCTACTTTCCCCTGCAGCCATAACGCAAAGTCAAACTTAATGTCTCTTTTCAAATAAGTGAATTTTAAGAAAACAATTCTGTAAGATTTTTAAAATCTGGAAACACAAAAATAAAATCTCCCCATTTTTAACATTATGATTTGTAAAATAAACACTGACCAGCAACCTAGACATTTCTCCTAATCCCTACCTAGTAAACAAAGGCAACATGAGAAAATAAAACCAATTCATTTCTGGCAAAAGCTTTTTGAAGCCAGCTTTCCATTAAATAAAAACCAAATTTGACATTTCTGTTTGTTTTTATGTCTATGGAGATTCTCAGCCATCCAGTCATGGTTGTCCTAAAGCTGCTTTTTTCAAGAGACAACTGGACTTTCCCCTTGGACTTCAAAAAAGTGAATTTGCCTCTTGAAAAAAAGCACATTGGGGCTGTTTGCTTTTACTTCATAGTGTGTACTGACCAGTGGTGGGTTGCAAATACCATTCCAACCGGTATTGTTGGAACGGGGCTGGAAGCATCCTCATGGACGCACGCAGCGGGCGCACACACACGTACAGCGCATCCATGCGTCCTAGCATCTCCATGATGCTCCAGCTGCTCTGCAGAGCGTTGCACAGGCGCTGTACGCATCATGCAACTGCACGGAAGCGCGGAAGCCTTTAAACACCGGTAAGGAGCATGGGCGGCGGATGGGCCCTCCGGAGCACCGTACTGGAACAGTATCCAGTGCTCTGGGCTGGCTCCGGTACACCTGTACCAGGGCGTACCACCTGCAACCCACCACTGGTATTGACATTCTATACACTGAGCTCTGATAAGAAACAAAATGTAATGAATGAAAACAAGACCAGTGACATAGTATGTGGGGGAATTACATTTTGCCTTTTTTGCTTTTTCTTTTGCTAACTCGTACCACCCTTCATTACAGTAGTCTGAAAACAATGAGCAGACAGTTGATCTTTTCACAGGTGAAGTTCCAATAAAATAAAGTAGCAAAGAAGTTAAACAATTCCATTTACAGTTTAGGAAGTTTGAGAAGTAAGGAAAACATGGACAGAATTAACATGGCACAATGTACAGGTTGCTCTGTTGTCTTGTCTCTGCAGGACCTGATCTTTGGAACTTAGCATTTATTCTTGAAAAGCATAAAATATTGTACTAAATTTCAACACCTTTCTGAAAAAGCATTGGACTAATCTACTTGATTTTACATCCCTCTGTATCGTTTGTACCTACTTTTATTTGCAGACACACCAAAAATATATTTTGTACCAATGCTTCATAATCCTCTTGAACTTCTTTTCTTATCTTCTCTTTGATGTTGTGATCTTCTCTTTGCAGATCAGTTACTTTGGCTCGCAGAGCAGTTATTTCCAGAATCATCTCATGACTCAGTCTAGCTATCTATAAAACAGGTAGAAGCAATGATTTACAATTTTATTTGTAAATGCAATCTTTCAAAATAAGTCTTTAGAGTGTAAGGACACTAGGAGGCATTCATAGACTCCCTGAATAAAGGCACCAAAGTCACAGCCACTAACTTGACTTAGATCCACTTCAGCAGCTCCTGTGTTGTTTTCTACGACGCGCACTTCCTGAAACGGAATGGAAATGTACTTTTAACTAATTTTGCTTTTCAGAAATTTCTACCTTTTTTCTGTTTTCAGAACAGTAATTTGTAAAGATCATTTTGTTCAAAGAAATGAAGAATCACTTCCCTCTTTTCCTGTTATAGAACCAGTAGCAGGAGAATACCTGTTCTTTTTGATATAGTAGCTGATGTTGCCGACGGAGCAGATTTTCATAGAACATGGAGTAGGTTTCAAAGTTGCTACGTTCTCTGGCCATGACATCACAAGCTAGAGAGGTGAGGCACTTTTTAAAGTGGTCCCTTTGAAAGATGATCTGGAAATAAAATAAAATCAGAAAATAAACCTGTTTTTTTAATTGTTTTATCTTACTGTTATTACTTTATAAATAACTGAATGCAACAATCAGACATACCCATATTTTTCGGAGTATAAGACGCACCGGAGTATAAGATGCACCAAGGTTTTGAAGAGGCAATTTTTTTTAAGTAGGTAGGTAGATAGTGGGATAGAGAGGGAGAGAGAGAGAGGGAGAATTACAGTAGGTAGGTAGGGGGAGATAGTAGGTAGGTAGGTAGAAGGATAGAGAGAGAGAAATACAGTAGGTAGGTAGGGAGAAAGAGAATAGGTAAGTAGGTAGGTAGAAGGATAGAGAGAGAGAAATACAGTAGGTAGGTAGGGAGAAAGAGAATAGGTAAGTAGGTAGGTAGAAGGATAGAGAGAGAGAAATACAGTAGGTAGG